CAGAAATGTTCTGACCACCTGCTATATCCCCTTGTGAGCTGCAGCCCTGTCGGCTGCGCGGTCTTGGCTGGCACACGCTGTGCCCAGCTGAGCCAGCGGCATTGTCCTTCAGGCCTGGTGACGAGCTGTCGAGCCTGAAATAGCAGGTACGTGGCAGCTGCTGCAGGCCCCTCCGTGGGGTGGACGTTGTGATTGATGCCGGGATGTGGCATGCTGTACCGCACGGAAAGTGCTGTGCCAAAGGTACTTTCAAATAACAAACAAGTTTATGATCGCTTGGCGTGGGCACGACCCTACGTGGCCTCGGCGGGTCTGTGCCCTGCCCGCCGGACGGAGCAGCCTGGTTTCTGCGAGGGAGGACCCGGGTCTGACTCTGCTGCTGGGATACTCAATACCTGTTTGCAGCTGTCAGCTCTTCCTTGTCCCAGCCAAGCCTTAAAGCCTCTTCTGACGGGGTCCCGAAACTCCATTCATGTTTGCTTTGCTTTTTAGTCACAAAGCACCTCTAAGGTAAAAACATCAGTGAATTTTAAGGAAACGCAGCTGGGTGTTTGCACTGGTGTGGCAGTCTTTTCTGTGCTCGTGGTCACTTCTTTGTTTCATCAGCTGAAGTTGCTGGATGGGACTTCAGTGGTGTATTGCGGCGGGCGGAGGAAGCAAGCAGCCAATTCAATGTGAATGATAGAGCAAGCTTCAACTTTATTGAAAGAAATCACACCTTATATAAGCAGTCTACAATACACTACTTGCAACTCTATTGGATACATTAAAGAAACTACATTATAATATCTCAGCCATTGGGTACATCTAAAAAGTCACATTATAATATCCCAGCCCCTTGTGGCATTTCTGGTATGCATAAACATCTTTCTTGCTGTGAACCTGCTTCTCTCCCAGGGTTGCTTTCCTCTGACCCCCAAGGTCATAATGCGCCCCAACTTATCTCTGTGTTCTCACAACAATCCTCGCAAGCACAACTGAGCCCTGGGTCTTCATCCTTGTTTACATAACTGTACCCTAGGTTCTTTCCTTTGTTTACCTCAGGTGGCTGGGACCGACTTCTGCAGGGAGCTATGGCCTTGCTCTCTGCAAGCCGTTCTCCAACAGTGTATCACCACCAGCTGTCCTGCCGTCTCAGATGAGCTCCACCAGACACGGTAGGAAGAAATGGAGACTGCTGTAGCGCTAGAGGTGCTTGCTCTGCCCTGGAGGGGCCTGTGGTTTTCCTGGTGCTTTCTGAAACAGCAGTTGTAATCTGCTGCACCTATTTACTGCTTTAGATACTTCTGTTCAGATGCAGAGTATCTTTAAAAGAAATCAAACTGGGCCATTGCTGAAGCCTTGAGGGAGTAGTAGTGCTCTTAACTGCTCTCCCTCAAATCTGTGCTTCAGTTGAACTGTTCTGCAGAAGCTAAACCATCAGAAAAGCTTAATCTTTATTTTGTAGGCGAAATCTACCCCAGAGGCCTGAGGGAATCTCCCTTTTGTTGGAAAGTTTTCCTTAGGTTGGTTTAGGTGCAGCACAAAACTTTGCTTTCTGGAGAGGGATGTGCAGGTGGGTGGCAGTGCTGGGACGTCCTTACCTTCCTGCTTAACTGGTAGAGTCATTCCGCCTGTGCTGAGATGTTTAGGGTAGGCTTTGACAGGTTTGAGCAAATTATAAAATGAGTTCTCTGGAACTTAAAGCTATCAAAATAAATTGTTGGCAAGCTCTTTGCATTGTAGGTAGGTAAATGATGTGTCACAGTCGCTTATTTTCTTTGTTTAAAGAATTTTTAAAGAATGTTACAGGGAACTTTGTGAAGCAGATGTTGCCACAAAGGGAAATAAATACATGAATCATTTGGGAAGTCAGTAACCCTGACCACCTAACCTGTTTTATAACCAGTTTTGTTTGTACTAGGTAGTGAAGAGCTGTTGGTAATCCAACATTGAAATTTAGATTTCATCTTTACCGGGAAAAAATAAGCTAGGGACTTCTCTGTATTTAAACATTACGAAGTACTCTGTATTGGGCTGTCGCTGGCAGGGTTTGGGGAGCTGGGAGCTGCAGGGGTGAACTGTGTGGAGAGGGGCCGTGAGCTGCGCTGTGCCAGTTCCAGCAGGTTCCAGCCAGCTCCAAAACAGATGAAAACAGCCCGTTGGACACCAAAGCTGCAACTGGTCAGAGCAGCACACGGTGCCTCTGCTCAAATGTATTAGAGAAAAGGTGGTAGCTGCTAGGGACAGGAGTGACAGAAGGGAGACATGGGAGAGGCACATGAGGAGGTACAGAAGGGCACATGTAAGGACAAGCATGGGACGACATGTGAGGATGCAAAAAAGGAGATGAAAAGGTGACATGGGGCAGGAGGCACAAAAGGACGTGTGAAGACAAAAGGAGACACACAAAGGTGTGAGGAGACACAGGAGGAGGTGTGAGAGGAGGTGTGAGGTGGTGTGTGAAGAGACATGTCTGGAGCAAAGGCAGGAGGAGGTGGAGGAGACATGTGGAGGGGACGCTGTTTGGTCCGTGCCTGGAGATGCTCCCTCGGAAGGAAGCGCTCTGCTGGAGCAGGTACCCTGGAGGGACTGCAACCCGTGCTGGGGCAGGGACACCCCTGAGGATCTGCGGCCTGCGGGGGACCCACAGACACCCCTGAGGGACCGTGGCCTGTGGAGAACCTGTGCCAGGGCCGGTCCATGCCAAGGGTCTGTGGGCTATGGAGCACCCATGCTGGAGCAGAGGAGCAGTAAGAGGCAATGAGCAGTGGGGGAAAAGTGAGATACAAGGAGCAGCCAAAAAACCCCAAAACCATTATGCACTGACCCGTAGCCTCCTCTGCCACATGTTGCCTCAGTGAAGGGATTGGGACAGACTGAGGGTAACCCACAGTGAAAACAAGGGAAGTGTACACTAGGACGTGGGAAGGAGAGGTGTTGGACTATAGAGGAGCCTGGGAAAAGAGGAGGAAAGGTGTTTACCTAATTGTTTGTTGGTCTTCCCCCCCCAGTATCTGATTCAGTAATCAAAAGTTTATGTTAATTTGTAATAAATTAAGTGAAATTCCCCCAGTCAAGGATGCTTTGCCTGTGGCAGTGTATTCGTTGCGCTGGGATGTGAAGGGCAAGCCCTGGCCGTATCATTGCTAAGGCCCCATGGGGACGTGACCTGGGCAGAGTCTCCCACTCGGTGGAGCCTGACTGCTCCTGCACCGCTGTGCCCAGAGGGGCCGGCACCAGCCCTTCATGAGTGGCCACCCTTCCACTGGCTGCGCAGGTAAAAGCTGTAGAATAGATGCAGTTTGACTTGCAAACCCTTGTATTCAGGCTATTGAAGATTCATTGGGGCAGAGCTGGGGTAGACTTTAGCCGTTGATGCGCCATTTGTGCAGGTGGACTCACAGCTCCCCTGCCCGCCCAGCAGTGGCAGAACCTCCTTGCAGCAGTCTCACCCCCTCGCTCCTCTGCCCACACGTGGGTGGAGGGATGGGGGACGGCGGGCACATGGCAGGGTCTTTCCATTTCTTGCGACTATATGGGAAGAAAATGTGTGATACCTCTCAGAGTCTGCAGGGAGGAGAGTGTGAGGGCAAGGGCAGCTTGCTCCAGCGTGGCCGTTCCCTGCCCGCTGTTGTTGTCTCCAGGTAGAGCAGAAACACTCAAGAGCAGTCTCTCTGAGAGAATGAAGGTGTGTTGAAAAATCATAGGATGATATTTTGTTCAAATGGATTCATTTTGTTCAAATGAAGGAAAAAATCGAGAGAGAAAAAATCTCACGGGAAATTTTTCTTTTTTTCAACCGAAGAATGATTAATCTGAAATGGAAAACTCTGTTCTGCTATTAAGCTGACCCATAGCTATCTGCAGCAAGCATAATGTTCTCTTACATTCTGCACATTTTTGGTTTGTCTCACAAAACTTCTGTTTTTACTATTGGATTGTATTGATTTTATTCTTTTTAAATTATGCAAACTTTTACCAAAAGGCAAACAGGAATTAAAGCAGAGAAGACGTTAAAATGTTTTGCATCTTTCAGACAATTTTTTTTCTATAAAGAGTATATTCTTTCTGAGACCTTACTGTTTTTTTTCTTTATTAAGAGCCTGGCACCACTTTGACTATGCAGGTTTTGAGCAAGGTATTGGCATGTTGATGGCAGTGCCCTTCAGTTAGACAGTGTGTTGACACCTTATTTCAGACTGTTAAAAACCTGTTGGACTTTCTGGGAGAGAAACTTGGCTTTTACTCTTCCATCTGCTGGAACATATCTCTCTCTGATTAAATCTACACTTTGGTCTTCAGAGATCTAAACCTGGGGGATGGCCAGGACAGTCACGTTAGGCTTGTGAAAGCAGAAATATCACGTGTGCATCCTAGGTATAGAGGCGTCCCCCTGCGCTGGAGCGTACTGCTAGAGAGGGTCTGGCTCTGTCAGTACAATAGGTGGGGAAAGAGGAGAATGTCTTCTAAAGATGACTGCTGTACATTACCGTTGTAAGGTTCAATTATCTTTCAGAAAGTATGGTTTTAAATGGTGAAAGAAGGGGAAAATTTTTTTTTTTAGTGAAGTGTTAAGTACTTTAAGTCTAGAATCTTAAACATAAAATTAAGCGCATGGTCAAGAACAGAGGTGTTGTGTGAAGGAACATAATAAACACTCCCATGTTGTGGAGCTTTGTAGCAAATATGGGACAGAGGATGGTTATCAAAGAATAAATGGAAAGAGAACCAGTACTATTCTGTGGTTCTGGGAGCTGAGAGCTCTTTCCAGGACGAGATGATAGCCGTGGGGCTTTAGATAAGTTCTCTGGTTTGGGGAAGGCTGTCAGGTGGTTTCCTCTGGAGAAATGAACACCTTGGGCACAGCTGTCCCACAGGGTCCCATGGCAGCGTGGAGAAGCCAGGATGCTTTTTTTTAAAGATGACCCAAAGGTGTAATTCTGGCATGAAGGAGAGTTCAGCATGTGGCTCTGCCATAGCGCTGTCCTGAGGCTCGTGGTCTGTTGCCTTCCCTGTCAATGTCTTTTTCTTCTTTCCTCCCCTTCAGATCACGACGGTTGTCTTGGGAGAGCAGGCTCTGACAGGAATGAGAAGGCTCAGGATGCCCAGCTGCCTGCTAAAACTGACCAGGGTGGTGCTGAGCCACAAGCTCAGGGCTCTGTTTATCCTCGCCTTTAAGTTCATGTCCTTTGCCTCCATCATGTTGTACTGGAGAATCACGAAGGACACTAAGGGCAGAGGCCAGGTCTACAGCTTGCCTGTTGAAATCCGCTGTGCTCACTCTGTGCCTTCTCCCCTTGCTGTTGCTGGTGGCTCCCCTCCTTCCCCAGGGGATGTGTTTTTTGTGGAGACCTCGGAGCGGACGAACCCGAGTTACCTCTTCGCGTGCTCTGTGGAGTCAGCGGCCCGGGCACACCCTGGGACAAGGGTCGTGGTGCTCATGAAAGGTTTGGCAAATGGTAACACCTCGCTACCCAACCACTGGGCCTTCTCCTTGCTGAGCTGCTTCCCCAACGTGGAAGTCCGGCCCCTGGACTTGCGGGAGCTTTTCTCTGGAACACCTCTAGCAAAGTGGTACCTGCAGGCTCAGCAGCGCTGGGAGCCTTATTTCTTACCTGTCCTGTCCGACGCCTGCAGAATTGCCATCATGTGGAAATTTGGTGGCATCTACCTGGACACAGACTTCATTGTGCTCAAGAACTTAAAGAACCTCACCAATGTGCTTGGTACCCAGTCCAAGTACGTACTGAACGGGGCCTTTCTGTCCTTTAAGCCCAAACACAAGTTCATGGAGCTCTGCATGAAGGACTTTGTGGAGAACTACAACAGCTGGATCTGGGGCCACCAGGGCCCACAGCTCCTAACACGTGTCTTCAAGAAGTGGTGCTCCATCAGGAGCCTTCGGAGCAGCACGAGCTGCAAAGGAGTGAGTGCTCTGCCCCGTGAGGCTTTTTATCCCATTCGGTGGCAGGACTGGAAGAAATACTTTGAAGTGGTCAGCTCCTCAGAGCTTCACCACCTCTTTAATAACACCTACGCAGTGCACGTGTGGAACAAGAAGAGCCAAGGTACAAGGCTAGAGATCACGTCGCAGGCTTTGCTGGCTCAGCTGCATTCTCACTTCTGCCCTGCCACTTACGATTTCATGAAGAAGGACTCTGAACGGCAGTGACTGGAGGGTCAGCTAAGAGATGTTGCCCAGGAGCCCACAACTCTCCAGCCATTCCATCACAAGTGAACCTTCTTTTGAAGTGAAGTGGTGAGAGTTGAAGATAAACCCCTTTGTGGGGTGTAGGTGGAGACTGTAGCTTCAGCCAAGGTCTGTGCAGCTCTTTGTCTTGACTTTGCCTACCAGCAACACCCTGTTTCTCTGCAGGACCCTCCTCTGCTCTGCTTGGTCAGGCAGAGAAATCTCAGGAGGGGAGCAGGGGCTGGGCTGCTTGTGGCAGCCTCCATCAGCCTTGCAGAGGAGTGAGGCCCTTTTCTACGACTGTAAACCTGGAAGAGGCCTTTATAGAAATGCGTATCCCATTGCCTGATCTGGAGGACTTCTGAAGTGCAGTCCGCAAAGCAGTGAGAGGATGGGAGAACAAGGAACAGGAACTGAGGAGGAAGTTAAGGATGTGCTAGACAAGGTGTCCTGAGAAAAATGTAGAGGAAAACAGAGTAGAAAGAAGGGGCTAAAGCGACTTATTTGTCTTTTCATTCCCTCCTCTTCAGAAGCCTTTGGTGGAGGGGACTTCCTCATGTCTGGTTTGAGCAGGAGGCAGGATGCTGCAGTCTGTTTGATGTCATAGACCATAGAAAACATGGAAATATGGTGTGAATCAGAACATGAGCACCTGAGGCCAGCTCATCATTTAGGAGTTCTGGTGCAGCAATGATTTATTTTGTAGTAGTGGCAAATTAACACCCTGCAATGAGCAGGAGAGCTCATCCAAATCACACCTTAAATTGCACCTGATGCAGGAAAAGCTTGTGTCTTTTACACTGGGTTTGTCTCTAACAAAATTTCCATTAATTGTGTCTAAGATGCACCAGCTCTTTCAGCACTTGGATGGATCCTAAAGGAATGATATTTCCAAGTATTTCAAGGGTTAGAGAGCTTGGTAGGGAATGTGTACTGTCTAAATTTAAGTCCATTTATGAGTCATTTGTGGTGGACCTCTTCAAGTAGCCTGGAGTACTCCTGTAATTCACTGTTCAGGAGTACAAATCTCTCCTGGGAAGTCTTGAGGAGGACAGTGGAAAACTTTACTCTTCTCCCTGAGCATCTTCCTGAATTGCAGTGGAGAATATTAATGTATCTCTCACAAGGTGCTGTTGTGCCTCTGAGGGTTCCCACCACAGAGACGAGTTTGTTGGACAAACTGCTGGAGAAAACTTGTCCCTTGCCTTGATAGCCAAAAGGACGTGTTGATGCTCTTACAGTTCTTGTCAGAAAGTAATGAAGAGAGAGCAGTGAGAAACAAGAATAAGGCCAAGACCATCAGCATCATTCCATCTGGTCCCCACCACGTTCCAAAGGGGATTGCTGAGGCAGTGAGCTTGGCGCTGTGATAGGGGTAATGCAGATGAGGGGATGGCCAGTGCTCTGCTCTCCTACACTACTAAGATTATGGTCTCATTGTAAAATCTTTCCTGCCTCCCATGTGCCTCCGTTTCTTATGCCTAGGAACAGCAGTGGGGTGGTCCAGTGACCCCTCTGATGACCATGAGTCAGTCAGATCTTCAGTGTCACCTGGCCCCAAAGCGACAGCTCCTTCACGTGGTGCTTCCTGCGAGTTCTCAGAGTGTGACTCAGATGATTTCTAGATCTGCACCTGGCTGAGGCCTCTTCTGTTTCCCAGGTCAGCCCTAAGCAATGTGAAGTTCGCTCAGTTCAGTCAAGGCAGTGGTCAAAAATGTAAAAGACTGTGCATGCAGCTTCTCTGTCTCAGGTTTATTTGTCCCTTCTTTGATGAAAAAAATGAGAAAGACAAATTACCCATCATTCACAAACACTTGCCTGTCCCTCAGGGACATGGCTGTGCATGAGAGCTTGAGGAGGGCATGCACTTTTTTTTTTAAATGCTGCTTTGCCCAGGGCTGATCGAAGGCCAGAGCTGCTTGGATTGAAAGCTGCCCGCCTGTGAGTTGGGCAGGCGGGAGGTCTGTGCACCAGTAGCTGCTCTGCAGTGAAGAAGGTGCTGGAAACACCCCTCTGGTGGTGAGCACCATGTGTGTATGTGGGTAGTGCTGCCCCTTTTTCTGCCCAGCTTGACAGTGTATCCTGGAGGCGTTCAGGATTCTGAATGTCTGCAGCCTTCCCAATGTTAAACATCTTTAAGAACAAAGACTCTGTAGGGAAACAGCAGATCTTTGTGACTGTAGAAGCATTCCTCAGTGTGCTGAGCGGTATGAACAGATGCTGTTCCTGCTCCCTGTTCTTGCTGTCGCTACTCTGTGGGGTTTTTTTCACTGCTTTCTTTAGAAGCAGTTGCAAAACTGTCAGCCCTGGCCTAGTGTGTGGTCAATGAGGCGTGGTTTCTCCTTCTACTGGTCCCTTCTGTTTTGTGTCATTTGGGCTACTCAGCAGGGATCTTGGTGAGCCAGGAACCCCAGGGATGGTAAAATGGGGAACATAAATTTGTAACAGGGGACTCTACTGTGGCAATACCATTAGCTGACTGTGGGAGTGTTTGGCACCCACTGCAATGAATATCTGGCTTGATGTATTGCTGCTTATTGTAGGAAAGTGCCTTTTTTGGATAAATGGGGTGTGTTTTTTGTTTTTTTCTCTCTTTTTTTCCCCCTGTAGAGTCAACGTTCTGAGGTTTGATAAGGAGAGAATCAAACCAAAGCAGCCTTTGGCCTTTTTCCCTTTGTCTTGAGAAAGAAAAATAAATAGTTTTTGCTATTACTTTTCTCTGCCATGATGTTCTATTTTATTCTGCGAGGCGTTAGTGGTGGGTCTGAACAATCTGTTAATTATTGTGTCCTGATGTGACTCACTAAAATGACAAGAGTGGAATGAAGATGAGACAAGTTGAGCATAAGCACACGTGGAAAGAAGGCTCTGCGGACCGTGACTGCCTGCCATCTTTGGGATCCCAGCGGGGGAAGAGAGGAATGCACAGTGTGTGGTACTGATTCCCAGTCCAACCAGGTATCGCCCCATACTTCATGATCTCCAGTCTACCTGAAGGTCTGGATGTTATGGAATAGGAAACTCCATGAGAAATGTTGTTGCCTTTTCCCTGGGTGAGGGGCTACAGCCTCCGTTAGTAGTGACAGCGTCTGTACTCTTGTAGTCCTAAAAGTGGAAGGCCTGTGTGTGCTGCAGCCATTCATCTTCCCACCTGCCTTTCAGAGCCTCATCTAAATAACCTGGGATCCAGGGGAGTGTTTTGAGAAGCTGTGGAAGGACTGGTGGGGTCTGCTTCGCAGTGGGGTTTTATTGTGACTCCTTGAGTCAAGAGCCAGGGTAGCAGTTTTCCCTTGAGATGTAAATTAGTTGTCTGTGCTTTTTTCCTCCTGTGGACGAGGAGCTGGCCAGGAGCCAGCAGCGTTTCCCTGCAGCAGAGGTGCCCGCAGCCAAGGGAGGCAAATCCCCCAGCGCAGCCAGGACGCCACTGGAGCTGGCCCTGGCTCCGCACCCGCTCGGGGGTCAGTGCGGGCCCCAGCTGCCCCCGAGCCCGCTCAGCAAGCAGCAGCTCCGCGGCCCTGGCTGGCAGCACCCAGGCCCAGGACCTCGGCAGGATGTCTCCCATGAATTCAGGTGTCACCGTTCTCAGTACCGCTGCCGCTGGGTGCAGGCTGATGCTGTCCAAGAACAAACCAGCTCCTGCTGGCTCTTCTCTACAACTGGCAAAGCCTCTGAGCGAGGTCACTTCACTGAAACTGAGCGTCCCTGCTTCTTTGGAAGCTGTTACAGCTCTGTCTTAATTCAGTCAACACATTTCCTACTCTGTCAAACTGTAATATCATTACTGACCATTTTCCACTGATCTTAGACTACTGCTAATTTTATTTAGGAAGACTGAAGCTGAGTTGAAGCTTAATGATGTTGCCATGCCTGGCTATGTGATCTTCTGTTTGTGGCCATTACTTATGTACCACATTGGTTCTCTCTGCTGCAAATAACAGAGTCTGTTTATTTTTTTCTAGATAACTTCAGTGAGATGCCATCACATCTATGGCAACTTTCTGTACAGTAATTTGGGAATCGCAGCTATAAACCCTGCCATATCACTTCTCTCCATAATCCGTTTATCTTTTGCAGAAACTTGCTAATGTCATCTTCCTCCTCTTTGCTGTGGCTTGCTCTTAATTCTTCTTACCCTGTGGAGTGTCTGTCCAGCACTGCAATACAGTGATACGAGTGGATATTTTTACTGTTCTTTATTTCAGGAGAAAACTTAGTTCTAAAAAGCGTGTAAGTGGAATTCGATATTGCAGGGTGCACCCTGGGGAGCTGCAGTTGTGATTAAGTACCAACGATGCAGTTAAGAGACAGGTGCCTTAAGTGTCCTCTGTCTGCAGCTGCAGTACTTATGCCTCGGTCCAATGTTCCCGTTACAATATTTGCTCTCATCTCACCTGAAATACTCGCACATGCTTGGTCTGTCATTCTCTCTAGAGTCAGAAGGAGGAGCTCTAAAGCTGTTGCTAAAATGCTAAATTCTAATTCCCCCGAATACTGGGGTAATTAGCGGGTGGATTCATCCCTGTTTGGTACTGCTCTGCTTTTCTCTGCCTGACAGGCTGATAGTCACCCGCTGAATGCTGGTATTGTCAAATCTTACCTCTTCTGCTCTTGTTGGCAATGATAAATCTGGAGAAAATTGAGATCTTCAGCTGTTTCCTGGTGGGTCCCCTGACTCCTGTCAGGCTGCTTGTCATCAGTGATACTGTTCAACACTCCTAGCAGCTACCTGGGTACGCAGCAGCACTTTGCTGGACCTTTTTTCCCTCTGCTTTTGTTACTGAATTTCTAGCAAATTTACACACCCCCTCCAGTGTTTTTCTGTTCATATGTCCACATAGGGGACATCGCTAAACTCAAGAACACTTGATTCGTTCTCCTGAAGACATCTGGGATTTGTGCAATTGCTTCTTCCAAGGCTGATCAAAGCTATGTTGCCATCTTGCTACTTGATGTACCATAAATGTAGCTTTTAAATAGTTTAATGGCATAAGGTAGTTGAAATTGCACTAAAATTATGCAACAAAGACAAGCGAGGATAAAACAAAGACAGAAAGGAAAGTATGGCACAGTGTACTTCCATTTAGCCTGTGGAGCTAGATTTGGGTGTTCATGACATATTCTGGCCAATCTCAGCTGCATGAGATTCTCCAGCCCAGCCCCAGTCCCAGTTCCTCTAGCACTGAGTCCTTTGCTTCCCCAGCAGCACCTTCCCTAAACCCAGAAGGCTATTTTTAATGCACAGAACTGCAGGAATGACAGCTGAATTGGCCATGAGAGGGCGCAGCTTTTGCTTTAAAATGTTGCTATGCAAGGGACTGTCCAAAGCGTTTTGCTCAGTTTAAGATACTAAACCATATCTAACCAGTCTCTCTCGTAAAGCTGTATTTAAGCATGTTGTACCATCATCCAGTTTTGGTTGTTTCCATTTTGTGCTGTGTGGTTCTGCTACCAAGGAAGATACCAGTGAAGCACATTCACAGTCAAGCAGAGCAGGAAACGCCTTTGCTCAGGGCAGGGTGCTGCAGCACCCCTCGGGCACCAAGAGTAGATACATGCACATGCTGATCCAGCAGCATCAGGTGGGTTGAAGTCCTTGCACGGTGGAGTTACAATATCATCTATGACAGCAGCCCTTTGTTCCCTTCATACTACATATGATCCTTTTTGTGATTGGAACAAGGGAAAATCACTATCCTTTAAAGGTCAGCCTTCACCTTGTGCAGGAAGGTGTCTCCGTTTTACAGTTTTTGTTTGGACCGGGTTTTTTGGTTTTGTGTGCATATTTCCAGCCCTGCATTGGTTAGCTGGACTTTTAAATTTGGTAAGCAAGGTTGTGAAAATTATATGTAGTATTTCAGTATTTTGCAAATCATACACGATCAGAAAATACGCCTTTAGCAGGTTTCTTGCTCTGTTGAAGAAATTCTTGTGGTATGTGCATATCTAACCAGTCCTTGTCACACTCTGAGAGTCTTGGCATCTGCCTGTTCCCGCACTGCCACGAGAAGTCTTGCATTCCTCTCTTTGGAGTACTGAACACATCTGTACTGCTGCAGTGCGTGCAAGGATTTGGGGCAGGGAGGGTGGTCTGGGGAGCTGTAGAGCCATAAGCCTGACTTATTGCAGGCAACTGAGTAGAAACTGCTGTAAACCCTGAACTTGGTGGCTGTGTGGATAAAGATGGTATTTTATGAAGGTGTCAGCATTCCCCCATAAGGGAAGGTCAGTCACCAGAGAGCACAGGAACAAGGGGAAGCTGTCATAAAAGGAGGGATACCTGAATCTGGCAAAGTCATTCAGCGAAGTATCTGACATGAGAGGGAGTATTTCCAAATGAGTAAATCAGTTGTTTGAGAGAGTGTGTGTACAACGGAACATTCAGAACTGAAGTCTTGGGTGGGAGGAGGCAGCTCTTGTGAAGATCTGAGCTCTGTTGTGGCAGCCACCCAAGCAGCATGAGCACAGGGAATTCTGAGGAAAGGAGTAGGAAACAGAACAGCAACCGGTTTCCTGCTGCAGTGCAAAGCTTAACGCATAGTGATAATGGGGTTTCAATTTCCTTCTTTTTTTTAATTTTCTTTTTTTTTTTTTCCTGATTAATTCCTAATTAGATGGGTTCTTCACAGCACAGCTGCATGACCCTTATATCAGCAACTGTATTAGCTGAACATATGAGGTCACATCCTCTTGGTCTGTGTGTTTTTTTCCAAGTGCTTAGACTGCGTTATTCACATTTCTCTTCAGAAAAAGCGCTAGGCCACGGAGTTAGAGGTACTCTTAGAGACACTAATCTCTTGAAAATCTTGTCCAGCAGAGCAGTGACTTCTGTGATAGCTTGAAAGCAGGGACAGGTGAGTAGTATTTTCAGTTTCTGTGCGATGGCACTTGCAATTTTAGAGGAAGAGAGAGAGCTAGATTTCCTGTGTTTGTTTTGTGAAATAAATGGACTGGCTAATGCAGAATCCAAAATGTCCTCTTACGCGCTACAAAAGCAGAAATGTATTTCTAAATATATCGAAGTGCTGTTGCAGTAGAAGTTCCACCTCTTACTAAAAATATGCATGTAACCTTGAAGTTTGCTCACAGTTAGATTTCAGCTGTGCTTTTCCTGCCTTCTCTACCGCAAAGGCTCTGTCCCCTCAAGCCTGTACCTGCTTTCTCTTCTACAGTTTACCAAGCTAAAAATGATTTACAGGATTGAACCAGCTCTGGTGTGAAGGGAGGGGGAAATAGGTATGTAAAAAACAGAGTGAGGTTTTTTGCTGTCTATAACGCTGACAGCACATGCTGGCATTTCTCTGCAGCAGCAGAAAATGTTCTGGGAACCCAGAGCTGATGATTTGTGTCTTGGCTACCTCTCTGTCCTCCAAGCCACAGTGCCTAGTGGGGAGCAGTGTTCCATGCTGTTGCATTTGGAAACCTCGCAGTGCAGATGAGAAGTCTTTTTCTGGCTACACAGGGAGTTTAGTGTGTGACCCCGTCACAGTAACCAGGGGTGAATGACAAATGGGATTTGTGCCGGCTGAGTTTTCTGTCCTGTCTGTTTGGTTACAGCTGTTTTAATTAAAAGCTTTTGTTGTTTCCTGAAGCTCTCTGTTCTAGAGCGTGGGGATTTGGATTTGGAGATGGAGCAGAGGGAGGCAGGTGTCATGGTCCACTCGGTGGACTCATGATGGTTCGTTTGCTACAATCTTGAAAGTGCAAAATTAAGGTGACCAACACCAAAGGGGATAGCAGTAATTAAACAGTGAAACTTGGTTGTGTTGCCACTGAAGTGGCACGTGATAGAGATCGATGAAAGACAGGAAAAAGGTAAAGTTAAGTTTTAGAGAGAGACAGGAGAGAGGTTATAGCTACAACCGCTGATCTCATGACATCCTAACAGTCCCGGGTCCAGCTGATGCTGCGTCGTCAATCGTCGTGGTCCTTGGTGGGGAAGCTTCCCATTCTCGTTGTCCAGAAGTCATCCTTTTATTCTCAGTAACACACCTTGTTCCACCTCCGCCTCAGGGGTCTCTGCCCTTCTCGAGCGAGGCCATCACCATGCGCAGGGGGGAACGTCTGAGGCGTGGTCAGTCTTGGAGGCGGGCAGCCTTCCACCAGGAGGGGTGTTTTGGTATTATTATAAAGCAAAGTTCGTCTAAGGTTTATGACTTCATCAATGTTACGGCAACAGTTGTGATCCACCTTTTCTGACAGTGGCTATGAGATGATCTCTAACAGCTCTGGCTGGGCCCAGGTACCAAACAATAGCGCAGCACTCTCTGTACTGCACGGCTCCGGCACTGCAGAACAGCCCAGCACCGCCTGCACCGCACAGTCAGCGCTCAGGGGAACAGCCCAGCACTCGCTGTGCCACACAGCTCTGCATTCACCACATTCTGCTCCAGGGATCGGCAAGGCCAAGCAGGCCGTTGTCAGGTACCTCACTGTCCATGTCCCTGATGACAATGTTGACACAATGCTGGTCTTCTGACTGACTCTTACACCACTCTGTGGCTCAACATGGTCATCAGGATGTCAGGACCGTTGGTGGTAGCCTAGTAAAGAAGAGGAAGAAGAAAAGGAAAAGAGAGGGGGGAGAAGATAGAAAGGAAACTACAGTGATCAAACTATTTACAAAAGTTAAATTTACATAGCAATTACAATCAAAGCTGTTTATATAAAAGAAGAATTAATGGGGTTTTAAAACATCAATTGATTTTGGGATATCCACATTGAATGAGACATCAAACATATTGTGTGTGTTCAAGACAGACATCAAGCGTGTTAACCGCTTCATCATTCTCCAGGCTATGATGTACAATACTGCTGATAAAGCCAAACTGATCAAAGCCAATATCAAGAGAACCACAGTGGGGTGACACAATTTATTCAGGATGCCTGTAGCAGTAGGCGACGATGGGAAAAGTGTGTCCCATGTCCCATCATCTGTGTTCTGCAATCTTTTGCACTCTTTCCAAAACTCAACTGTTCATCACAATGTGGAAGAAATACATTATTAAGGTTTTCTGTCTGTTTTCCCTAATTTTTTCCAAAATCTCAACCAAATCCTTGTGTTGAAGTAACGGCTTTACTAAAGTGAGATTCATTCCAATGGGTGTAGGCAGGAATTCATGCATTAACGTGTAATTGGATTGCAAAAGTTGGTGAGATATGACCGGGGCTGAATAGGAAAAGTCACATCCGATAATCTTAGTCCCCTCCGGTTAAAGATACACACCACACATACTCTGTTTCGGATTCTTTCGGAAGGCGCCCAGATTCTCTTTTCATTGTGGCCAATTCAGGGGGAGTATATGGTATCTCTTTAGTTGTAATTTGTGGGTCGTTATCCTCATCCTTTATATAAGCATATTCTGCTTTAATCAAAGGTCTCACTCGGGGGTTCTCCCTGAAGTGTTTCCTTGCTTCCTTTAGTTCCTTTTGGGGATATATCTGACTTATTTGCTGAATACCTGTCTCTTCCATCTTCATTTCTATCTCACTCAATAATTCAGCAGACTTTGAAAAGTCTTCTCTTAAGGCATCTTTTAGACAGCGATTTTCTTCCTCCTTTTCCTCTTTCTGCTCTTTGAACAAGGACACTGCTCTCTCTTTCTCTGCTAACTGCTCTACCTTTTCTGCTAACTGCTCTTCTAGGTTGGAGTTTGTTTTTTGCCAAAGTTGTACCAAATTTTCAAGGGATTCTATGATTTGTTTTTCATGCCTATGCTGCTTATAGCGGTCTTCAGTTGCTGCGACCAGGCTGGCTCCTAGAGCTGCACAGATTATCGCTTTGCCTTTACCTGATCATAATCTAGCCTCATTATGTATGGAAGTCACTCGGTCTGTTACACTCTGCAAATTTGCCCAATTGTCTCGAGCCCGCTTTTCCCCAGGTGGGGAGGGTTGAGCTCCAAACTTTGCCAAGAGTGCACAGACTGAGTCAAGATTTTTTACTAATGAGGAGTTTTGATAACCATCCTTTTCAGTCATTCTTATTATGAAAGGGCCAGACTCACTTCAGGGAGGTTAAACTGAGTTACACCACACGCAACAGCTGCTGCGTCGCCCTTCTCTTCCCCGAGTGGCTGAAGGGACCAAAATCTACCATGGGGAGTCAAAACTTAGTTACACACCTCGGCTTGTCCCTTTAACTTCCCTGAGTAGTCGACCTCATCTGTTGAGGGCAGTTCCCCCTGTTGCACTAAGAGATCCTTGCACTTGATCCTGATAGACAGAGCCCTCAAGTCGGGTTTGGGGTGCAGTATACTGAGGCATGTGTGGTGTGTGGGAATCTCGAGTCGCCCCTCCTTGCTTTCTGGACACCTCTCACCCTTTCGGGTGTGGGGCCAGGTGCAGCTGGAACAAAACACTCTTCCCGTGTTACAGACCACACACAACCTGCACCCCCCTGTCTCTCGGGATCCTGCCCGTGATGCCAGTTTAATGGTACCAGGAGTGGGGTTGGAAAGGACCTTTAAGATGATCAAGTCCAACTGCAAACCTCACACTGCCAAGTCCACCACTACACCCTGTCCCTGAGCACCAGGTCCACATGTCTGAAATACCTCTGGGGATGGGGACTCCACCACTTCCCTGGGCAGAGTGTCCAAGGCTTGATAACCCTTTCAGTGAAGACATTTTTCCCACTATCCAATGTAAACCTCCCCTGGCACAACTTGAGGCTGTTTTCTCTTGTCCTAAATGCCATCATCTTCCTCGTTGCTTCTTCATGTGCTTTTGTGCATCGACCTTTGGGGCCCCAGTGGTGGGCCTAGGAGGTGCTGTTCTGCTGCCCCTCACTTTAAGGGGAGGCAAGGGCAGAAATACTGATGCTAATGCTGAGAATGCAGCTAGAATTACTTCTCTTTTTGTTGCTACCTTGTTAATAAACTTTTCCTCTCCATTCCTCTGTTTTGCCGGAGGAAGAGAGGAAGTAACAGTAGGGTGGAGAGGGGTTTGCATATCCATCACCAGGTGACTCCCCTGGCAGAGCTGAGCGGGTCACAGCCAGTCTGGCCTTTGCATCCTGGGTCAGTGACGTTTGGGTTAGTCAGCACCATCTACCAGAGGAGGTAGAAGTGAGTACTTGGCAGAGGAGCAGGGTTGGGAAGCAGCCTTGAAACATTCTTTACCTAGGCAGTTCTTGTCCTTATCATCTGCATCTGCCTCCAAAGCTGCCTTGTATCAATTCCCCTCCCATTCTCCATCTGTTCTACTATGCTGCAGTGCCATGAAGAGCTCACCAAGCTCTCTCTAGGGGTGGGTGGTTGGTTTCAAAAGCAACAACTGCTGGTTCAACAGCCTGGGAGATAGAGGCCTCTTGAGAGGAACTGATGACAGCACTGAGGTTTTAGTATTGCGCTTGGTTTTGGGGAAGGACAGGTTGTGTATCAGGAGAAAAAACTGTTATTGTGAGTAAAATCAGGGCAGCAGTTTCAGGAAATGTCTGTTGACAGAGCTCCAGGAGTATTCATAAGCAGTATTCCTATTTCCTTGTCCTACGTTTTTTTGTATGTCTTGTGCAGAATGACCTGACATTCTGGACAGTGATAGATAAGGTCTCTAATGCTGTTCCCAGAGTTTGTTGTGCACCACCACGAAGGAATGCCATTTGTGTGTCAAGTGCTGCATATACTTCCAAGTGACAAGCTATGACAACTTATATAGACAATATACATGGACAGAATTGAGGATTAGTCATGGTTTGTGATACACAGAAAGGAGACTCTTGTCATTATTCTGTGTTTGGAAGAGGGGGATGCAAAGATGGGCAGTAGTTTCTGATGTGGGATCGGAGAGCCCTGTGACAGCAGGGAGAAGCCAGGAGACTCTCTCAGACGTAACCAAAAGGTGTAATTTAAGCTTGCTACCCTGAAGGAGTGTTCAGCTCTGCTGTGGCACTGTCCTGAGGCTTCTGGTCTGCTGCCTTGCCTGTCAGTTTGTTTTTTTTCTTTCCTCCCCTTCAGATCACGACAGTTGTCCAGGGAGAGCAGGCTCTGACAGAGATGAGACTGTCCAGGATGCCCAGCTGCCTGCTAAAACCGAACATGGTGCTGCTGAGCCACAGGCTTGGGGCTCTGTTTATCCTCACCGTTTCATTTGTGTTCTTTGCCTCTGTCATGTTCTACTGGAGAACTGGGCAGGATGCTGAGGGCCAGCTCTACAACTTCTCTACACAAAGCAGGTATGAACAGGTTTTGCCTTCCCTTCCCCCTCCTGCTGCCCGTGGCTCCCCTCCTTCCCTAGGGGATGTGCTTTTTGTGGAGACCTCGGAGCGGATGAACCCGAGTTACCTCTTCGTGTGCTCTGTGGAGTCAGCGGCCCGGGCACACCCTGGGACAAGGGTAGTGGTGCTCATGAAAGGTTTGGCAAATGGTAACACCTCGCTACCCAACCACTGGGCCTTCTCCTTGCTGAGCTCCTTCCCCAACGTGGAATTCCAGCCCCTGGACTTGCGGGAGCTTTTCTCTGGAACACCTCTGGCAAAGTGGTACCTGCAGGCTCAGCAGCGCTGGGAGCCTTATTTCTTACCTGTCCTGTCCGACGCCTGCAGAATTGCCATCATGTGGAAATTTGGTGGCATCTACCTGGATACAGACTTCATTGTGCTCAAGAACTTAAAGAACCTCACCAATGCCCTCGGTATGCAGTCTCAGGATGTACTGAACGGGGCCTTTCTGTCCTTTAAGCCCAAACACAAGTTCATGGAGCTCTGCATACAGGACTTTGTGGATAATTACAAAGGCTGGGTCTGGGCACACCAGGGCCCACACCTCCTAACACGTGTCTTCAGGAAGTGGTGCTCCATCAGTAACATCCAGAAACCTATGAGCTGCAAAGGAGTGAGTGCTCTTCCCCAAGAAGCCTTTTATCCCTTTTGCTGGGAGGACTGGCATAAGTTATTTGAAGCCATCAGCTCCTCGGAGCTTCACAGGCTCCTTAAAAACACCTATGCAGTGCACGTGTGGAACAAACTGAGCCATGGGACAAGGCTAGAGATCACGTCGCAGGCTTTGCTGGCTCAGCTCTATTCTCAGTTCTGCCCTGCCACATCTGTGAAGATGAAGAACGACTCTGACACGCGGTCAAGGCCTGCAGCCTGACCTGCGGCCCCGGGCGGCAGGGAGCGCCTTTCACCTTCCATGGACCCAGTGTCTAGCCCTCGGAGCAGGTATTCTGTGTGACAGATCAGTGATTTTGTACCACTTCTGGTAACTGCCTCACATCCTACGTGCTTCAAATATACACCAGAGCCTGTGTTCAGACTCTTGCGATCCTTCAGCAGCCCATGAGGCTGCAGGGAAGGTAAACCTGTTCATCATCGGTTGTTCCTCTTTGCTGTTCTCTCAAGTGCTCCATCTGTGTATCAGGTCTGAAAGGCCTCTCCTGTTGTTTCAACAGCTGTAGGCATCCTTGGTTTGCTCTCTGTAACATTGCTAACTCTGTAAATAAATGCTAGCCGGGTGCCATAGGCCACGGGTTACTGGAGCTTAGGACCAAATTCCCTGGGTGGTGAAGTGTATGAAAATTGCTGTAAGAAACGTAAAACATTTTAAATCTCTGTGTGGCTCAGTGTACAGTTTTTCTTTCTTTCCAAAAGTACTTTATTTCAAATGATCTTTTCTACTGTTTTACATTCCACAGTAACAGGCTGAGTTTTATGGTCATTTTCAGGAAGAAAAAAGCAGTTGTGTTACAGGTGTGAGTAAAGATCCTTGTTTGGTTAAAGAAATGCTTGTGAGATGTGCATATCTAACCAGACTTTGTCACACTCTCAGAGGGTCTCAGCATCTGCCTGTTTCTGCATTGGTATGAGGAGGAAAAGCATTACGTTCCCTTCATTGTGCAAGAACAGGGGCAGACGTGCCCGTATCAGCAGGAGGACCAGGGACCAGGTCCAGGACTAGGACCAGTGTCCCCAGAGACGTCTCCTAACTGTCACTGGGGCTGTAGTCAGTGGGTGCTGCAGGGCCTTTCTTCTAACCCTAATGCAGGTTACCCAGGCGGGTAAGTGGCGGCGGGCGTCGCTGCCTGCGATGGAGCGCAGGGGCCTGTGCCACGGGGTTGTAAAGTTAGGTGAGAGAAAGCCGACTGTGGCTTCTAGCAAACCTGGGGCCACAGACCTGCTGTTGGTCTGATGGCCATTCTCACATCTGAATGTGTGTCCAGGGCTCTGTAATTGTCAAAATGCATTCGAAATTAACCCCTTACGGAATGAGGCGAGCAGAAAAAACAGTACTGTAGAGCTATTTGTGCTAAATCAAGGTTCTTATCTGGAAGGCAAAGTGTAAGCAGTGTATGGTTATTACTCTTTCAGGTATGCAGTAAGTAACAAATAAGAGAATTATGTATATCAATTTTAATATGGCTTTTCCCTAACTTCCATTGTCTGCTGAGAAGTACAGTGTTTTCATGCACAAAGGAGGGCTGATGAAAGTTTGATCCAGCCCCTAATATGAGCAGCAGTATGTTTCAAAGTTTGTCAGACACTGAGCCACAGCACACAAGTGATCAAGCACTCTGGTGCAGACCAAAAGCGAGCGAGTCATCAATTTTTACTGAAAACCAGTTGTATAAAACAATACACCAGTTTACTCTGCCATCTGGTCCCATGTCCCCCCTCTCCCCTCCCAAAAAGAAACGTTGTCTGATAACTCTAATACTAGTCTTCACCACTGGTGCTGAGGAGTACTGGATATGCTGTTCCAATGTGGTGCCCATGGCGGCAAACAACCATCTGTAGCTCATATTCCTCTATCTTCACTGTTTCACGGGTGACTCTTTCTTCAGACAGCAGGAAAATGACGGTGTAAAGGGAAAATTCGAACTCTGGGCTGACACCAATAAAGGTGCTTCCAATTGGCTTGACTGAGCCCTTCCAGCTGAACTGGATGCTCAAAACGTGGTCATCTTTTTCAGGCTGAAAGCATAAACAAAACCATAGAACAGTCCCCAGCACAGCTGTGACCAGACAGATACAATTTCCAACTCCAGATTTCTGAGAGCACTGCAAGATTCAGTCATCATCCCGTGCCAGGCTGCTACAGCTGGAGCACAGCCCTTTCCCTGTCCTCTGGAGCATCCATGGTCATTTATCTCAGTTAAGCTTCAGCAGCATTGCGATTCTGTAAACACTGGCACTAATTTTTTAAATAGCTTTTGCAAAATAATAGACTAGACTTGAGGGCAGTATTTCTTTTGCTTACATACACGTGGGCAAATTAGGTTCAAAACATTTGAGCCTGTGATTGCATCATTGTGCCTTGATTCATTACTGCAGCTTTTATCTCTGGATACATTTGTCTTTTATTTGCAAAGGCACCCTGCTTGTTCTTACCCTGGATTTGTTCTTCCGAGTGACATAGCCCTTGTAGTCAATTTGGTTGCGCTTTTCCTGAAGGTAAAATTGCACCCAGTTGTGCAAACCTAAGATCTGTTTACCACGCCGTGTTTCTCCAACAAAAACATGTTCAAAACCACAAGAATCAGGTCTGTAATAAACCAAAGAATAATATTTAGGGTTTTTTGTGTTTAAATAGTTCAAATTAGAGGATGTAAAAGGCAAGAAGATGCACATGCTCCTTAGGTTGATTCATGAGCAGTTTTTTTATTTGTCTGGATTTTTTGGGTTTTCTTTCTTAATTTGCACAAAACTTGCAGTGAAATCCAGCCATGAAGGTTGCTAGTAAATGCTACAGATGCATCACTGCTGCTTATCCAGATCTTAGCAAGGCTTCTGACACTGTCTCCTGTGACAGACTCAGACAAACTCATGAATTAGAAAAGGGGATGAGGTGGGCAGAGGATGAATATCTGCGGCTGAAGGCCTGTGATGAGGGACACAAAGTGCAGGTGGAGGCAGTTCACCAGTGCTGCACCCCAGGAGTCAGTACTGTCTGTAACACGGTCTGCGTGGGAGCAATGAGCACCTGACTTAGGCTGTAAGACTCTGAGGGCATCTTCCAGTCCTGGGTGCAACAGATGGCACTCGGGCTTATATTTACCTAAATAGGGATAGGGTAGGGATTATCAGTGCCACATCCATCAAACATACCTGTCTCCTTCTTTCCTGGCATAGAGCTGGAACCAGATGTCATAAAGCTGGTACTTGAAATCGGCAAGGTTGGGCTTGGCTAGGTTTTTTTTAACCAGATATTCATGAGCTAGCTGAAGAATAGAAAGCCAAGATACATATACACAGTTTACTTTTTAATTCAGCATTTTCAGTGACTAAACAAGATCTGTGTTACTCACTTTCATGACTTCTGTTGCTAGGATAGCATCAAGAAAACAGTTGTTTTCAACTATTTCTTCTGGAGTCACTACTTCTGCTACACCAGTTGATGTCTCATAGTTGTCCAGTAAGGAAATAAAGGCTGCAGAAAAAGAGAAACTTTCCGCATGTTCATACTGATGAACAGGCCCTACACCTAATCATACCTGTGATCCAGCCATTAGAGTGCCATTTTTTAAAAAAGATGCCACATAATATGCCTTGACAGTCCATAGAGAAAGACATTCCTTTGTAAGTCAGATTTCATTCTCAGGTGCACTGTTGGGTGTAAGTCTAGAGGTGACTCAAGGTCAGACCACTGCTCTACTTCTTTTTACAATAAGTAGCTCGCTACTGGGCTTCCTTACGGAACCAGGTGCTGAGGCAGGAATGACATACCAAAACAAATCCTATCTGACCACCAAATTACAGGTATAGGCTTTGTGAACATGAGCTATGGTAGCAGAAGGATTTATGGGCATTACTTCAGTAGAGGAATAATACAGCATAAACCTACGTGAGATGGCTTGGGCTTGGGCCTGAGCGTGTGGCCAGTGAGCAGATGGGTTTATTTTCTCCTTGGCATCCTTTTTTGCCACTTGCTCCCTCCCATCACTTCATCTACTTGTGCTCTGACACTCAGTGGACTCTGGGGGCTGATTCAACACACCAAGTTGGTAGAAAAATACTTGAGGTCAAAACCCGAAGTCATTTCCTGACAGGTTAGTGAGCTGAAGGGACCTAGTATAGAGTTCAGTGGGTACTGGAGCTGCCCTCACTGCACAGGATTGTGGGGCTCAGATTGGAGTGGGGGGAGCACAGAAAAACGGTGCTGCCTATTATGCTGGCTCTTTGATCAGCTTAATGTGACTCTGTCTGGGGAAAAGAAAAATCAGGGAAGGAAATGTACATTCACAGACATGCCTGAAGTATAGCCCCCATCAGAAATGCAGAAGTAGCTGTGGACCTAGTGCTATCTGAAGGGACTAGAGACTGTGAGCAATGGAGGAAAGATGACTTTGGTGTCTTTTTCAGTGTGTGGAATAACTCAAAGCAATGACAAGAGGCTCATCCATTTTGCTTTGTAGTAGAAGAACCACAGAGAAAGGCAGATTTTGGCTAAAGTACCAAAGGATGTTCCGGCTGAGGCTGCAGGCAACCTCCATGCAAATGTAGAAACTGCCTTCAAATGACGGGGATGATGATCCTCACCACCATCCAAATTATATACGGTGTTTTATTTTAGGCGAACATATGAAAACCAACACAGATTCTTCATGTCATTTCCACCATTAACAAAAAGTCTCACTTGCAAAAGTTTTTATGCTCTTCAGGCGTTCTTCATTTATGCTGTGAAACAGATGTCTGGCTGCGCTGTCCTGGACAGCACTGTCACCTCGCTGAGCAGCACCTGCTTTTCCCTAGGAGAAACACCAGAGTGAAACAGTGACAGAAGTAAGATGTCCTTAGGCAAGACAGTGCCTGCCTTTGTAATAAAACAAAAACCATAATGCCATCAGGATTCTTTGTTAGGAATGGCCCTCCTACAAAACAAGAGAAGACATTACAGAAGAACTGCCAGCATAAAGAAAAAAAGGTGTAATCTCTGACACTGTAGGAGCCTGGAAGTTCTCTGTTGACTCATTTTCAGAGATGACTGTGATAGTTCAGTTCTGATCGATAACCATCTGTGCTACTGTGCTATAATATATGCATCACAAAGGATAAAGAGAAGTAATACAGAGCCAAGGCTCCCTCTCACCACAAATACACAGAAAAGAGATTTGGGCACCTTCCTTCTCTGGTCATTTGTAACCCACAGACCCACTGCATATAGTTTATGAGGCCATGCAGTGCAGTGGAGGGGTTGCTTCTCTCCTGAGTTCCTGCTCCCCAAGCTAGCCAGTGTAATTCTCCTCTCCTCCATGATAATGCAGCAATCCAAGTCCTGAGCAGGCTCCTCAGGCGCAGCCTTTGTTTTCTGACCTAACGACTGCAGCCCCAGCGCCAGGGGTGCCGAGATAGTTCTGTGCAGCTCCATCAGCTTTGGACTGGTTCATCCTGGTGCTCTGGAGTTTTCAAGGACTGGTTGGCCACGTTTAAGGGAATTTTAATCAATGTTACCAATCAGCACATCCAAAATAGAAAGGAGGCTTTCCTGATAATTTTCAAATTTCTGTTCCAAAAAGGGCATTCTCAAGGAAAGAGGAGAAAAGGTGAGTAGCAGTTTGTTAACATGGGCAAGGGGTAACTAGAGCCTTGTTCTGAGAAATGGAGAGACCATATGGGAGATGTTTTCCCCACACACATTTTGGCCTGAAGTAGGTACCCCTTTTCAAGTTTGTCAGCAATGGAAAATTGTATCTTATAATATGAAGCAACATTGAAATAATGTGTTTGAGCACTTGTGTGAGAACAGAATTGGATACTGAATATTCAGTGGCCTGCTGCAATTTGTGGCCAAAACCCGTGGCCATGTTTGCACTACACTGAGCTGGCAAGGAGTGAAATGCCTGCTCATCAAATCTGATACCCACTCTCCCTCACAGTTCCCTGGGGCTGGTAGCAGCCACCCTGAAACCCTCCTCACCCACACCTCTGTGCTACTCCACACTCTTCGGGAGACACCCAGGAATTCCTCAAGTTCCTTCCTTATTCCTCCAAGAATGACTTGGGACCTA